TTGGGACAGTTTGAGTCACCTACTCCTGGAAGGTGGCACTGCTCTGCCTCCATTGTCCCTCCTTTTTAGCAGGTTTGAGCGATTGCAACGGGGACTCCCTGTGCATTTCCGCAGTGGCAACCTTCTTGGCAATGTCACCAACCCTTCCTGGAGCCAGTGGTCTTCATGGAGCGAGTTTGCTGAGCACTGGATAGACTTGGCCTGAATTGTCTGTGGTTTAGAACAGGTAGCTTTGCATGTCCTCAGGCTCCCCGGGTATGGGGTCAGGGCCAGGGGTCTTGGCTGTGTAACCTTCTCCCCTGCACAGACCAAGTTGCTCAATGTGGAGCCAGCCCTCAGGATTGCATAGGATGCCATTACCTCTGAGTCTTAGATTCTGGCAAGGGACCAAGGCATGTTGGGTCATCTCTTACCACAGTTGACCCCCAGGGAGGAAAGTGAGAGAGCTACAGTTAATACAGACTTCTTGCCTCACTTTAATGAACAGGGCTGAGAAATATCTGGGAAAAGTGAAATTCCAGAGTAATATCTGGAGGCTTGCCATTCTACTGGTGGGGATGGGAGCTGACACTAGCTGATTGTTTCCCCAACTTTCCTGATAAGAATCAACCTGGGTTGCTTGTTAAATATACAGATTATTGGGGCTAGGAGTCTTGTTTTCTTAACGAGCGTTCCAGGCCATTCCTATCTTCAGACAAGTTTGGGAAACAGTCTGTCTGCTGCTCCAAAAATAGCCCACGGAAGAGGAGTGCTTTTAAACAAGTTTAGCTTTCCATATAATACATGAATAAGTTCTTCTTTGAAAATGTTTTAAGGTACAAGTGTCCTTTGACTCCCTTAACTATCCCAATCCCTGACCTTTTCTTTAAATTAAGAGAGAGACAGGTTTGGTTTCTTCTAAGTAGGTATCACGTTGTATTTGTCATTCTACAATTTGCTTTCTTCCTACTCAGAGCTATGTCGTTATGAATATATGAGAATTACGTTAGCATGTGTAGAGCGACTGTTTTAAAAAAAAAAAAAAAACAACAAACCCTTGCATGGTATTATATAGTATGGAACGAGCATGGTTTATTTAGCAATTCCCCTATTGATGGATATAGAGGTTGCTTGAAGTTTCTCAGTATTACTTGCTTCAGTGAGCATCCTTGTCCGTGTCCCGTTGTGTACATTTGGGTATAAACACTGAGAAGTAAAATTGCTGGGTCAGACTGTATACATTTGGGGATTTTAATGAATGCTGCCAGAAGTTACCCTTCAAAGTGGTTCTACCCATGTACCTTTCCACTGAGAGCATGTGGAGAGGGCCCAGTTCACCACACAGGTGCAGCTGTCTCACAAAAGCAACCAGAACTCCCATTTTCCCTCTAGTACTTCCCTTTGGGGATTACAGGAAGACTACTTCCTATCACAGAGCTAAATCCCTAAAGTAAAAAACACCAGGGCCTCAGAGTTCCACCCAGCACCTGTGTGTAACAGCCGGGTGGCAGGTAGAGCCAATTTCCAGTCTGTAACCAGCTCAAAGAGCTGTTTCAGAGAGGCTGTAGGCGTGGTGGAATTCTAGAACCCCAGCTTGGGAGGCAGGAGGTGTGGGCTGGCCCTGAGGCCCTGTTGCTGTTTTGCTAGGCAGCTGTGACAAGGCTCTGCCCCCCTCTGGGCTGCAGTGGGCCTCATGTAAAACAAGCGGAGGTTGGAGCAGGTCTCTCCAGGACTACAAGCTTCGCTCTTTATGAGCCCGTGAAAGTCCTTTAGGGGCTTTGGGCTGACCTGGGGTCAATAGTTTTGTTTGAAAGAAAGAAAAGATGCTTACCTAGGGTTTAGTGCCCATCCCAGGAGGCCGAGAAAGCAAAAGAAGATGTGGCCCACTGGTCAGGCAGCCCCTCTCCCACCCTGTCTTCGCTACTGCTCAGCTCCTGAGTGGAGTGTTGGAACCAGTGGCTTAGGGTTGCATCTCAGCTCTGCGTCTACCCTGTGTGGCTGCCAGCCAGCCGGCCATGTGAAGGGATTCAGTGAACTGTCAGGTATTTGCCAACCTGAGACCATAATGAAAGGAAAGAATCTTGTGTGCTCAGGTGGCCCGGCCTGCAGAGAAGTCCCGGCTGGCTCCCTTTTGGTTGAATTATTCCATTAGATTTATGGAACTTGTCTGCTAACTGGGGAGTTTTAAAGCAAAGCAAAAGCAACCGCATCAGTAATCCAAGTCCACATCTGGGAGACTCATTCCCCTTTCTTTTAATTTGGAAGAGCAGCAGCCTTCAGCCAAACCTCCTGCCCAGCCCATCTTGACTTACAGTGAGCCCCGGGCAGCCTGGACAGTGGTCACGCTGCCCAGTCCTGGTTCTGGACCTGTGGCACTGCATATGGCACTCTGGTCAAGTGTCTGTTCAGCTCTCCTAACACCTGGTTAAATTTTTACCCCCAAAACTAGACATGATTTTGCAAAAGGTCGGACAGTTCATCTATGTTTGCTGAGTTTCAGGTTTCTTAAACCTCAGATTCACTTTCCTCCACCAAACTCACTTTGAAGTTTGAAAGCAAATTGATTAAATATACATTTTAGAAACCTTCCGATTTTCTTCTTAAACTAACAGAATTCTAAACTTTTCTTTTTCAACGAAAGGATTTTCAACTGTCAGCAGGTATAACTGGAACCATATGTCAGCAGAGACCAGGGGCTTTTCCTGGTTTCACGATTTATAAATTCTTATTGAAACGGAAGCAAGCAGGGCAGGCAGCTGGGGTCCTCGTGACAGCCTGAGCTCAGATCTCATTTTAATTAGAACATATAGATAGTGCCTGCTGCATCTCAGGCCTCCCAGAGCTCCCGTCCCAGGGTGAACAAAGATTTGGTTTACATCTTGCAAACCTCCGTGTTTGCAAATTACAAAGCACTTCCGGGAGGAGCTGGAATGCCGAATTCTAGATTACTGTGGAGACTGCAGCCCAACTCCCCCCCCACCGCCCCAACCCTTCCTGCTCCCCAGAGATCCTCCAAAATGATATTGTTTTCTTGGGGAAATATTTGTTCTCTTCCTCATTGAAGAATAGATGGAGGATGTTCATGTTGAAAAGAAACGGTGAGGAGGTCTGGGACGAGAGAAATGAGATTAGATGCCATCCACAGAAGCTACGTCATTTTCTCCATTTAGACGCTTGGTTCCATGAACTCTGAGACACACAACCCTGCAACCCAACCGGCGTCTGAACGGTTCTGTTTGACAGTGGTTCACGTGTATAATTTTCTCCTTAATGTGTTCTGCAAATGGTAGAGTAGAAATATCAAATGAAAGACATTGCCAGGCCTAGCTCTCTCCCACCCCCTTCTTTTCCTGGCCTGGTGTCATCTGAGCTCAGTGAGTCTCATGAAAGGCCGTGATTACCATGTCAGTCACTGGAAGCGGCCCGCTGGGACTCAGAGCTTGACCCGCAGCCGGGAGGAAGCCATGGAGTAGTGGCAGCAGGGCCACAGTCTTAGGTCTGTCACTGATAAGCTTGCTCTTGTTTGGGGAGCAGTGACTGCTTCGTGCTACACCTCCCGTCGACCCCTAGCCACATGCTGGGGACAGGGCTGCTGCCTGCTTTCCCTCCACGGGCATCACATTCCTGGCAGCTGGTGGTCACCCTGCCAGGGCTGCTGCCACAAGCTGCCATTTACTAGGCAGACAAAGGGGGATTTTCCCTTCCCCTAGGTTTACAAGCCCTGCAAATGCCTTACATTCCAGGAGCTGGGAGGAGAAAAGACTCCTGTGGTTTCTAATTAAGCCCACAATTTAAATAACAATTCATGTAAACCCAAGGGTTGAGAGAAATGCTAACCTGCCCCCGACCCGAGAGAGACAGCTGGGTGGCCAGGCTGGGAGGACTTGCGCTTTGCCGGATGTGTGACCAAAGAGGGCGAGAGGGAAGTGGTCGGTGAGTTTGTGGTGAAGCTAGGGCATGTGGTAAGGGTGCGGGTGTGGGGGGCTTTTGTGCTCTCCCCTCTGGTAAGCGTGCCCCTTGCAAAGGTTAAGAAGTAAGAAGTGGGAGCAAAGTTGCCGTGTTTACTCACAGCCTCGAACTGAGAATTTTTACCCTTCTGCAGGGGAAATGTGGAACTTCGCTTCTCAAGTGTTAGAATCCCAGATACTCATGTTCTCAGAGGAGTCCCCTCCCTACCTCCCACCTACCCCCAGATGAGTCACTCTTTGTTACTTGCAGAACTTTTCTCTGGGGAGGAGGTAGGGGCTGTGTCCTGGAATACAGGCGAGTGAAGAGACCAGGAAGGACCTTGAGAGGCAGAGGATCTGGTCAGGCTCCTGCTCCCTCTGGGCCTCAGTTTCCCTGTGTGTTGTACAAGCATACAAGTCTTTGGATTTGTTGCTCCCAAGGTCCTTTCTGGCCTTCAGTCTGTCTGCCCATCCTTGAGCTGCTTTTGTGTTTTCATTTGGCCTGTCTGGGGCCAAAGTCCTCTTTATAGTACGTTGAGCTCACCAAATTGTTGTCTGATTACCCAAGGCGTGGTTGTGTTCCAGATTTGGGGGAAATGGAATGCTGAAAGCAATTATCTCTAGACAAGCTCTTCTGTGTCTTCGCCAGCACCAGGAGCATGTCAGCATTTCTAGGCTTTCTGTGATCTCCTTTCCAACTTCCCCTCCATTTTCATCCCATGAAACTGAGCCACTTGCATTCCCTGAAGGACACTCCAGGTTCTTGCCTCTGTGCGTTGCTTTTGTCGTTTGTGTTTTTACCTCCACCCAGATGCCCCCTGTTCTCACCTCACTGTGCCTGAGCTGGCCAGGCTATGTGTACCCACTCTCCCTCGCGGGGTCCCATACATTACTCCCAACAAGACTTGGAGCTCCCTGAGAGTGAGCACCAGTTCTGGGTCCTGCCTCCCCCTACCTCTCCTTCCTCATCTAGCAAGGATCAGTTTATATTTGCTGGGGCAAAGCATGGCTGTGAAGAGAAGAGAAACCAAAAAGCCAAAGGTAGACTTACCCCCGCCATCTTCCTCCCTGCAGGTGACCATAGCTGATGACTACTCGGATCCCTTTGATGCCAAGAATGATCTCAAGAACAAAGCAGGAAAGGGGGAGAGCGCTGGCTACATGGAGCCCTACGAGGCCCAGAGGATCATGACAGGTAAGCAGAGTGGCTGGCACAGGGACTCACAACTCAGGAGGCAGCTGGAGAGGAAGCAAGGACACTCCTGGGTGGTCTGTCCCCAGCCAACCTTAGGGGGAATGTTTGTGCCTTCAAGGTGGTGGTTGGGGGCAGTGCTGTATTAAGTCTTCCCCAAAGGTTTCCTGCTTATGTTTCACATCAGGAAAAACTGGCAGGGCACAGTGAAAGTCCAAATATAATGGTACAGTTCAGCAAAGATAAAAGCCAAGAAATAAATGGGGAGAAAAGGGGAGATAAGTTCTATTACACATTTCTGACTGAAGACAGATACAGCATTTGAGATGTTAAACTTTCCTTGGAGCTCCCTAGCAGCCAGGGCAAAAAGGGAAGGAGGCTGGGCCACCTTGCTTTCATTATCTAGTACAAGGGAGCAGACTAGATCATTAGTTGGGACAAAAGTATCCCTGGCCATACACTCAGAAATTTTTGTTTTGGTGCTGGAAAGAGCATAAAGAACCCCAGTCCTCATGGCAAATTTATAGGAAACATGGAGACTTTTTCCCCATGGCTGCTTTCCTGTTGGCCCATGATTGACAGTACCTTGTCAAAGCAGTTGTGTGGGGCCCAGAGGAATGTAGCTGGGTGTAGAGTATCTTGAGGGCAGGGCCTGTTTTTTAGCCAGGATAATGCTTGGAGTATCTTTAAGAAGTGAAGTTATCAGACATTTACTGACCACTTGCTGTGCTCTGGGTCCGCGCTGAGCGTTAGCTCCTACGGCAGTGGCGACGTTGTAGGCCAACTGTTGAAGGATCTGGGTGCAAGTCTAGGCTTTGCTTCTTGGACTCTCTGCCATGTGTTCCTCCTGTTCATGGAAGGCAATTCTCTGACCACCGGTGTGGCCTCCAGAATACTTAGCCACTTTGTGAAGGGCGAGGCAGGGAGTGGCTGACCAGAGGGACTTAGGCCAGACTTGTGGAGGGCTGCCCCTCTCGCTCACTCCCCTCTTCCTATTTTCCACTGGCAAAGCAGCCTCTGTGGCTGGCAAGAGGCAGGGAGGTGAATGTATGTTTGGGGCTGGAGTCGTGAGGGAGGGTAGCCTGCAAGGAAGCAAGTTGGCTGGTGGGTTCACTGCAGATATACACTCAAGCCCTGCAGTAACCCGTCCTCCCTCTGCCATATCCCAGCACTTCCACCAGGCTCATTTAGCCTCACAATGTCCCATTTTACAGGTGAGAGAATCTGAAGGGGATAAGCCTCTTCCCTGGGGTCACACAAGTAGAAGTAAGTGGCTCAGGCTGAATGCAGAACATGGGGGCAGGGGCAGGATGTTATCACAGGAGTGCAGACTCAGAAACACAAGGGAGGTGGGGAGGGGACATCCACTGGGAGCCTGGACTTTGTGGAGGGGCTGCCCATGCCTGGTGCCTTCAAAATGGAGCCGCGATTCCTGCTTGGTACTGCTGTGGACCTCAAAGTTGAATAGCCTCTTAGCTGGGTAGAATTGTCCTGAGGGACTTTGGCTTTTTAATGAGGACACACCCCATGGGGGCCAGGGCCAAGGCAGGGCAGTTTGATCACCGGGAACCTGTTCAGGCCTCATGCATTCTTTTCCAAAGAGGCTTCCTAATATTTGCTACTCTGTGTTTTCCACCTAGCATGGAGGCTCTGCCCAAGTTTACCCACGTTTTTTGTTTTTAAGAATACTGGATAAAAGGCCAGGTTCTGGTTGTAGTGGTCTTGCTGCGGCTCCCTTTGACTGGGAATTCTTTGTGTGTAACATCAGCATGGTGATTGATGGCAGGGGTGGACATGGGCTAGGGTGAGCCATCAGCACGGAAACGTTCCAGGAAAGCAGCCAGCGGCTTGCCGAGCTTATGTGAAACTCTTCGAAGGGGAGGAGGTGGAGGAAGAGAGTCTGGTGCTGGTGACAGTGGAGCAGGGGTGGCACAGAAAAAGTTAAGTTTAACCTTGCAGAGTGAGCCTTTTTTGGATAACGTTACAAGTTATGAGTACGTGTGCACGTAACTGCTAGTTCCAGGGCAACATCTTTGGTATGTAGGCATAGCACTGACATGGCAGTGCTCTCCCTGTACCTGAGATGGCATTTCCGAGCAGAGGGAGCCCAGGCTGGAGTCAAGCAGATCTGGGATGGCCACTTACCACCTGAATGACCACAGACCTCAGTTTCCTCTTGCAAAGAAGTAGCTTTATAGCAGGCAGTCAGTGGTACTTCTAGCCACTTTTCACTGCTAACTGGCTATTTGACCTTGGGCAGTGCATTCTGTGCCTCTGGTTTTACCTGTGTATGGGATTGATGGGTCAGTGATGATAATAACAGCAAGGCAGCTGCTAAGATCTCTAGTACTTGTTTACAGCACTTAATGTGAATTTGCATTGGATCTTCACCTTCACCCTTTTGAATGTAGGTGCCCCATTTTACCAGTGGAGAAACCGAGGCACAGAGACATTAAGTAACTAGCCCAAGGCAACCCAGCTAGATAGTCAGTTGTGGGGCTAACTTCCCAGGCCCCAGTGTGTAGGACGTGCTCTCTGGGGCCTGTGCAGCCCTGGTGCACTGCAGCTTCACTTTCGGATTGCCCAGCATGACCAACCTGGGCTGTGATTAACTCATAATCTTCTGTCCGCTACATCCTCGGCTCCAAGCAGCAGGTGGGGGGAGCTTTGTGAACAGAGAACTTGACCCAGCCCTGTGGGCTGTGGCTGGGATGGAGGGCATGGGTGAGTATGCCTGTTTCCCAGGGGCCACTGTCACTCCCTTGCCTTCTCTCTGCCTCAACTTACCCTCTCCACAGACTCCACTTTGTGTAACCTTCAGGAATTATGTTTTAGCTCCACAGTGGATGCTCACCTCTCCACAAGCCTCAGAGCCCAAATGCCCATGGATTGCCTGGGCCTCACTTTCCACCCGTTGCCCCTCTCATCCTAGCAGCATTTCTGGAGGTACCGCCTTAAAACCCTACAGCTCGTGACTCCAAGCTTTCCTTTTTATAAATAGGGGAAACTGAGACTCAAAAAGTCATAATCTGTTTGAAATTTTTTAACCCACTGATTAAATGTGCGGCTGTCTTGTGAAGCAGACACAAGACACGGTATCCAAGCAGAGGCAAGACAGCCAGTGTTGGAAGGATGACATGAGAGGCAGTGAAGTTTCACATGGGTGGTTGGCTTAAGCGCCTTTGAGGTCTGCATTAACCCTGAGCTCCTGAGATGCCATGATTCACTGTGACCTGCCTTTCAAGCACAGTGATGGCCATTAGCCACCTAGGACCAGCCCCACAAAGGGTACAACTGAGACCAACTCTGACTAGGAGGGGACTGAGTGCGGCTGGTGGCTTCCTTTCAGTGCCAGCCTGGCTCGTGCTAATAGTTCAGTCCTGTTTCCCTCTGCATCTTCCTTGGCCCATCTCTCAAGGTCAGTTTCTGATCTTGGCCTTTTCCATGTCTTGCTGCCCTTCTGGGCCTCAGTTTTGTTGCATGTAAATTGAAGAGAAAGAACCGGCGCATTTCTGAGTTTCCTTCCTGCCCCAGCGTCTAGATATTTGGGTCTCCAGGCCTGCTGAGCCAATCCTCAGGCTGCCTTACAGCCCATTCTTTCCTTCTTCCCTGAGTCATGATCCTAGGCTTAAGATGCCCAGATGCATAGAGACCTGCTGATGCAGCAGGAAGGGCACTGGACCCCAGTCAGACCGGTTTGGGTGACTGAGGGGGATCAAGATGCTTAGCCTATATGGCCCCACGTTCCTCTTTGTAAAATAGGGCACACAATGCTGATGTGAATACTGTGTGGAAGGTGAGCTTTGCACATGTGGGTGAGATTGTTGTTACCAGGGGCCCTTCACATAGTATTCTGTGCTGTTGAATTCTCTGGTCAGTCCCTGTAGGGTCCCCTGCCCACCTGGAGGTGGGTGGCACCTTTGCCAAAGCAGCTTGATGCTGGAGCAGGTGGTCCTCGGGCCCTCTGTAATGCACTTGGTCATCTCAAGGGCTCTAGGCCACACTGTGTTGGAGACTGGACTTAGTAACCTGGGCAGATACTACCACTGCCCTCCAGGAACATCTACAAAGCAGGGAGACAGGAGTGGACCCTGAGTGGTCAGTGGTTGGCACATTGAAGTGAGCAGGTGAATCTCCAGGAGTTCAGAGGAGGGAACGCCAGCTTCCCTCCTTGGGTGAGGAGGAGGTGAAGGTGATGAGAGCTGGGTCTGGCAATCCAGGCAGCAGGAAGAGCTTGGGCAAAGGCATGGAGATGGGGCCTTTGCAACGCCAGCTTCCCTCCTTGGGTGAGGAGGAGGTGAAGGTGATGAGAGCTGGGTCTGGCAATCTAGGCAGCAGGAAGAGCTTGGGCAAAGGCATGGAGATGGGGCCTTTGCGCTGGAGAAGAGTGGCAGGAGATGAGGCTTTTTTTGGATAATGGTTGGAAAGGCACATGGAACAAGAGCGCATAGAAAATGATTGGGATCACAAGCCCCAGTTAGCCTGAAAGCACAGAATGTTTCTGCAGCTGAGATCCTCCCTCTGCAGGCCCGCAGCCCCAGGAATTCTCAGAGGCACCCAAGGGGTGGTGGTGACATTGATGAGCACCATTAGCTTTTGCATGGGGTTTCCCTGTGTGCCAGACACTGCTCCAAGTACCTTCTGTGGACTGGCTCATTTAATCCTCACAACGAGCCTGTGAGACATAGTAAGTACTTTCATCATCCCTGTTTTACAGAGAACACTGAGTCTCAGAAAGGTTAACTAAGCAGCAAAACCAGGATCAAGCAGCGCCCTCTGGAGCCCTCACTTGCAGCCAAAACTCTCACATCCGTCCTGTATTCCCAGAGGATCTGGAGAAATAACTGGGAAATTAACAGTTACTCAGGCCCCCTAATTTTAGGTGTGACTAACCCTTCCCCCAATATGCTTTATAAAATTATTCAAAGTGTCATCTCACAGGATGAGTCACTTCAGCATTAATTGAAAGCATTTCACATAATTTTTAATATGTGTAAGCAATT